ACTATTAACTAAAATCACGTCAAAGTACCTTGTTCTGTCTAAAGGGTTTTTTTTTTTTTTCTTCTACTTCAAAAACACCTTAGACACAACTGGGTAATCCCTAAATCCAGGACTGTTAGGGGTTACTTGAGAACTGACCACTGCGACTAGAGGAACACTAGCCTGTCATACAAATAAATCCTGAAATTGTGACCTAATCATCTAAATTGTAATGGCAAGTATGAAGAAAGATTCAGCCTATTTTCCTCTGCCTCCCCACTCTTCATGTATATCACACACATGGATGGTAACTGGGACCTTAAAACAGAATCATCCTGAAATATATTGAGTGCAAAATATAATCATACATTAAACAACGTGTGTGAAATGATTACAAAATAATTTCCTAATGCCCACCCAAGGCATAGATAACTGAGCCTTCATTAGCCTGGGCAGTCGCTTCTCAACCAAGAGTGGAAGGACAGGCTTTCTGTCCCAGCATCATTGCAGCTGACTGTCTGCTCTACCTTTGTCCCGGCGGAAGAAAGAGAGCTTGGGATAAATGTAGGGACAATACTGGTTATCATGTGTAGACTGCATTTTCTGTGTTACTCAAGGATACCATGGGAAATGCAGTACACAAAACTCTCCAATGCTAGGGCTATCCAGGGCTCAATAACATTCACTAATCCCCAAATTAAAAATCCAATTGGGAACAATAGATGATCATGCTATAGTCACAGCAATTCATTGTTTACTGAATAAGGTGGACTATATTCCTTATTATGTAACTATCATTTTGCAAAGTAATGTTACCACCTGTTGCCATTTCCTATAGCTTACTATAACATTCGCTTGAAAAGCTGAATGTAGCAGTTTAACCTTGTAGAATTGCTATATTGGGTACGCAATTATGGGTAATAATCTCCATATTCACACTTGCTGTGTCTTTCAGGACACCTTACTGCCAACGATATGTCCATTTCACGCAGCGGTCGGCTCCGTAGGGTCCTGCTGTCTTATATTCCCAGAGAACTTCGAACAGAGGACAAAGTGCGCATTACGTCATGGGATGGCAGGAACTGGGGCGAGAACGAGAGCAGTGCCTATGACCGGGTCAGTTCCCTAAATATAGGATGGTAATATGAGACCAAAGTAAAACAATTTGCAAAGAGATTCTAAACGTATTTTATACGGCTTCATCCATTTGTGTCCCTTGCTGGCATTCAGAAGGTTAATTGTGATTTTTGTTTTTAATAATTATGCTGTTCCCTTGTTTCTTTATTCAGGTTCTGGTGGATGCCCCATGTACCACAGACAGACATTCCCTTCTTGAAGAGGACAACAACATTTTCCATCGATTGAGGACTAAGGAGCGGCAGATGTTGCCAAAGGTTCAGGTTGAGCTGTTGGTGTAAGTTAACTGGATATAATTAGTTGTTATAGTTACATCATTTGTCATAGTGCCTTTATCATTCGAAGGAGATTGTGGTGATGAGGGAGGTGTTTTGGTTAAGCAATCCCCTAATGTAAAGGTTCCAAAAAGGCACTTTCACTATTTTATACAGAATTATAGTAGCCAATCCGATCATGCCCAGACCCCCATTTAATTCAGTCTTCTGCTTCCTCATCTAATGTTCCCATTTTTCTTCATTCATCTTTCACTTTAGCCTCTCAGTCCTTATCCACTTCGTCTCCGCCAAATAAACCTTTATTATGGTAATCCTCTCTCTAATCTACACTGAGGATTGATAGTAAGCTTGTCGTAATGCACCAAACTGTAGATGGCTTACTATTAATATGTCGGTGAAAGTATGATGCAAAATTGGTCACAGGATCTGCACTCACTCCCAGCGGCCATAGGTGCTCCGGAACAGGACCAGCAATCCCAACACGTCAAGGCAGCAAGAAAAATTCCCAGGCACTCAAAGTGTGAAAGCCGCAGGCAGATTTATTGCAACAAAATAGACAGCAACGTTTCGACCTGCCAAGAGGTCTTTTTCAAGGTGAAAGTATGATGTCATCACAAAGGAGAAAGGTCCAGGCACACCAAGGCTTAGGCAAATTTATTGGAGCTAAAATGTCCAGCAGCAACGCCTCTAGCAAAATGTACTTTTCAAGCATTCCAAACCTTTTGGCTTTTGGTCGAGGCATTGCTGTTGGACATTTTAGTTCCAATAAATTTGCCTATCAAAGTCTTGGAGTGGCTGGACCTTTCTCCTTTTTGATTAGAAACTTTTTCTAGGGTCTTGGTGCTGGCCCTTGGTTCGGTTGCACCTAAGTCTTTATATATGGATGAGTGCAGCTCCTGGTTTAGCTGGTGAAAGTATGATAATTTGGGTTCAATTTCTTTTTTATATATATATTTGTTAGAACATGTTAGGTCTTTAATACAGTTTCTCCAGTTAGATATATTTTGATGTCCTTCTCCTTGTTATTGCTCTCCAGGGCTGCCCTGCAGACAGTAAAGCCAGGAGGTGAAGTGGTATACTCCACGTGCTCTCTGTCCCAGCTGCAGAATGAGTATGTAGTGCAGCGAGCAGTTGAGCTTGCTTCCTCTGAACACGGAATTCACACAGAGCTCCAAGATCTTAGCTGCTTCAGAGAGATTTTCAAGAACATTTTCAACTTTTCTACAGACTGCAGGATAGGGGAATTGGTCCTCCCTCATCTCACTGCAAACTTTGGGCCTATGTACTTCTGTAAGCTAAAGCGCCTGCCCTAGCCTCAAGTATCTACAGCATCAGAAGCACAAGGGACAAAGTTTTCCAAGCACTCTCAAAAACCTTTGCAGCTGCTTGCATTGTTCTGGCTGGTATTCCTCTATGGTTGAGGCTGTCTCTAAAAAAACCCAAGCAAACCCCGAAGGACATTTCTCTTATATACAAAGAGTGACCCATACGTTTATTAATAATATTTTCCAAAATAATCTGTATGACCATGAATGAATAGGAAATATAACGGTCTGTGACTAGTAGCCCGTGGATGTGCACGGCTGCTATACATGGACAATCTGACGCCAGAGGATTAGTTCTTCCCGGTAGCAGTGTTTCCACTTCCTTTTTAAAGCAGGAGACAGCATGATATTGCAACGTTGTATATTCCAAAACAAAAACAATCAGGGAGTTCCTTTAAGCAATACAATAGCATTATATACAGTAATACGGTCAATAAGCAAGAGATAACAGCCAGACATGTATGTATGTATGTTAATGTTTGAAGACTTGGACAGAGCTCTGTAATGAATCAAAAACTGTATTGCGTAATTTGGACTAAAATATCCTTGGTATGATATTAGACCTATGCAAAAATGTTGTTGAGCCAGTTAATCCGAATCCATTTAATCCAAACATAGGATTCATTAAATAATATCCCGGACACTTCAATTAGTTCAGGGGTGGATTAACATGTTTTTATGGCACATTGGCTCCAACTAATTTTTGTACAAGTCTAGTGATTTACAGAAACTTGTATGTTCTATTAATCTCTGTGAAAACCTACAAACAAAGAAAAGTAATTATGCTGTGGGTCCTCTTTAAATATCATGAACAAATATGAAGTATTACATTAAACTCAACTGAACCAAAGGCTCAAAACTCAGACAATAGATATAGATATTCATTGCTTGTTAGGCAGTGTCCAGCTTTCTCCTTCTTTAACCTGACATAAAAAGAAGGTCCCAACCAGTAGTGTAGCACTGTATCAATAAATACAGGTTCAGAATATGATACTATTTACACTCGCAATTTCAATATACCCCATAACACATTCTGTGCTCTTATGGGTATTGCAGCCTGTGATCCCAACTCATGCAAAGTAATTATTAAGTAAAAGTATCTATTGTAACACTGTAAATAGAATATATTTCATATAAAATTCTGCATATATGTTCTCATTAGCTTTGAGGGGTGGGGTGAGGAGGGGGTGTATGCCTTGGCTACATGAGCAGAGATGTGCAAATTTAATGACAGCGATATATCAAATCCTGGGGCCTCGGGTCTTTCTCTACAGCTCTTTGAAGATAGGAGCTACTACTCAGGAGCTTCTGTTAGCTCTCCGGAGCTGCACCCTGGAGTGCAGGGCTAGCACATTGGCCGAGAGTGTCAATTGAACTCGCTAAGCCCTGCACTGCTGGGTTTGCCTACTCTCACTAATCTGTATTAGAGACAGGAAGCAGTAACCTACAGACCTCCAGTAAGAAGTGACACCATTCTAAAATGGTTTGACTTCCTTCAGTAGGGATGCGCCAGGGTACTACTGTCACCATAACCACTACAGCAGGCTATAATGTTTGATTCTTGCCGTGCTCCTTTAAATAAAAGAAATGCAAATATAATAGTATAGAATTTTATGTATGCCATTTCTAATAGATTTTATTTCCTTTATTTTAGTTTTGTTTCCTATTTCATATTCAGTAGAATTGACAAAGTTCAGAGATTGTTATTGCCATTTATTTATAGAGTGACGACAGTACCGTGGTGTCAAATACATAATTTTTCTGGAAATTACAGAATAAAACAATGAAAATCACCTGTAGCATTTCTCGCCTACTGGTGTTGAAACGCCTCTAATAGATTGATCTGATTGGATCTTACAAACTAATGGCTCTAGGGCTGAAATGAAGATTAGGGATGATAAGGGACAGCCCTGCCTTGTACTGTTAGAAATGGGGAAAGATTTGGAAAGGAAACCCATATTTAGGATTCTTGCTGAGGGTTTGAGTAGGGGGCCAACAGTCTTGATAAACGTTTGGAAGGGCATCCAGTTTTTTTTCCCCACATTTCTTTCATGTAACACCATTTAGACATTCAAATATATTTTTGGCCTTTTTCTCCAGTCATAGGCCTGGTGTATTAGCCTTATGGACCAGTTTCAGGATGTCAAGGAAGCACCTTGTGTTACCTGTCAAGCCTGGGACAAATATTGCTTGTTCAGCCGAAACTAGTGTGAGCAGGAGAGGGCTCAGTTGGTAAGCCAATAGTTTGGCATAATTGTTTGTCTGTGTTGAGCAGTGAAATTGGTCTAAATATATCACTAATATGGGTGATTTAGCGGGTTTTGAAATTGTCATTGTTTTGTAGGATACATAGTGTGTTATACAGGGTATAATGTGTCTTATACAGGATACGGGCTGTTATTCAAAGAATACAGTGTTAAACAGGATACAGGGTGTGTTATACAGTGTATACATTGCATTATACAGGGTACAGGATCTTATACAAGGTATTTAGCAAGCATGTCAAACTCGCGCGGTCTCAGTAGTGATGCCGAGTGCTGGAATATGACATCATTCCGACCTGGCATCACTAAACTGCGCGCGTGAGGAGCAGGAAGGGAGACCCTAGGGAGACGCCCCACACCTGCTCCCAAAGGTAGGGAGCAATAAATAAAATGATGTGTGTAGCGGAGAGCTGGTATTTCACAGGTTAACTCCACTAAAGATCCCAATGAGGCTCAGGAACAAGTAATAAAATCCCATATAACAATAGTCACAGCAAGCAAGTTAATCCACGAATATCCCAATACAGATCCCAAAGACTGGATGACACACAGCATCAGGGGCAGAACTCAACTTTTAATCACAGAGTCAGCTTTTAAGCATTTCTCCCATGCAAGGGAGACACAATAATTATACAGTACACCATTCATACATGAGTTGCCACCCACACATCCCCTCCACTTAGTATGACTCATAATCCCATTATGCAGGACACAGTTCCCCTCGTTTTCTGGATGTACCCCTAAACCTAGGGGTACACCTCTAAATTTTACATCCCCCGGTAGCCCTGATCTGGGTGAGTGACATACTCAAAAATCACCCAGATCGGATCAGGGGTTCGGGAAATTCATGGAGGTAGTAAAAAGACCGACCGTGCTGGAGGTAACAGCCGCAATTGGTTCCATACGTTTTGGCCCTGCGGTCGGTCACAGAAAAAGGGAATAAAATTCCCGAACATCCTGTGTTATGGAGACTGGAGAGGATTCGGAAAAACCCCCTTGTTCGTGGGGTTCTTTCTACCAAACGGTGAGCCATTTGGTAGTTTCTACACGAATTAATGGCAGTGTGGAGGTCTCAGCGGTGTTTGCCTAGTCGAGTGTCCGATTTGGGTTCCAGACACTCAACGCCATACACCGCTGTTCGGGAGTTTAAGATGGCCGCCGCCACGTGTTCGTCTCCCGAACGGCGGCCACCCAGAGGACAAAGCACACACTGCACTGATTGCCAATTACGAGTTTGCAACATTGTTGCAAATGGTAATTGGAGGCACACTTATTCCTGGGGTGGTCTGATTGTTCGGTAGTTTCACTCGTATAATAACTGAAGTGATTTTACCGAACAATCAGTCGAATGCTGCATACAACATACATACATTATGTAAATGAAAGCATATTAAAACACATAATTTTGAACAGGGGGACGTGGCCAACTGCTGAGGTGGACGGACGCATGGAGTGAGAGCTCCTGGCCCGGCAGAGCCTAAAGCGTGACTCAAAACAGCTCTTATCCCCGTCAGCTGACAAAGCACCAACGGGTTGCCTCACTAAAGCCTCAATGGCCCCGGCAAAGCAAACAAAACTAACGTATCCAATCCGCTATGCTAAAAAAGACCGGTCGCAACCGGCGCAAGATGGCGGCGAGGAGCTGGAAATTTCACAGGCCTCCAACTCTCAATCAGACCATGAGGAGCAACGTTATACAGACGCCCCAGTCACTGAAAAGAAACTATATGCTATGCTACAAGACTTCAGGCTTACACTCCAATCTGATTTAAAGAAAGCAACAAACGACATCAAAAAAGAAATAGCCGAACTGGGAGAAAGAACGAACAATCTGGATGCCCGCACCGATGAAATATGCGCGGCGCAAGACACCATGGCGGACACCGTTCAAGCACTGATGGAGGAACAGCAATTCTTGAAAAGAAAGCTAACGGACATGGAAGACCGCTCAAGGCGAAACAATGTACGCTTTCGCGGAATCTCGGAAAGCGTGACGAGAGACCAACTATCTCACTATCTAACATCCCTATGTAAATCCCTGGTGCCAGGTATAACGGAATCAGAATGGCTCATGGACCGAGCCCACCGATTACCGAAACCGCAAAATTTGTGCCAAGACACACCACGCGATGTGGTAGCACGCTTTCACTACTATAAAACGAAGGATTCCCTGCTGCTGGCAGCAAGGAAACAACCCACGCTACCCAAACCTTATGCAAGCATCCAATTATATGCAGACCTGTCGGCTATGACGATGAGTAGGCGAAGGGAGTTCATTAACATTACAAAGACTCTGAGAAACAATGACCTACAATACCGTTGGGGATACCCGACAAAACTGCTCATATGTAGAAACGCTAGAACACACACCGTCAACGAACTGGAGGTGGGAATGCGTTTGCTGAAAGAATGGGGACTGTTCCCGCTACGGCTTCAAAGAATACCGACCTCCATGTCCCCGAAACGACCGCATGCAGAATGGCAGATGACGGGCTCGCCCAACGAGACAGAATAAGGCCCCGGGACCTGACCCAACAGCAATCCTGTCACCTATCTATGATCACGAACTACCACCAAGAGACTATCTGCCACCAAGAGACTATCTGCTCTAATGTTACCCTTGTGATATAAGTCATGCTAATATAACTGGAGCGTGAGTATGAATGTACGTAGAATATATGCCATACCTAAGGTGTCCCAAAACACAAGGCCCAACTTAAAGAGATGGAATCTAAACTTAAAATGCACATGCAGAGGAAACCAAAGGACCACACATGGGGTAGCAGAAGTAAAATAGCCACCATAGCCTGCACAGTAAGCAGGAGGGTATTAGTGGCGTAAAGGGCATGCTTACCGCAACATTGGGTTCCCGTCATAAGTCCTACACAATGGTAACGGGGTGAGTAATCACCTCTGCAACAAAAGGCTGTCGCACACCTGGCCCATTAACCCAGGCGCGACCCCAGGATGAGAAGTGAGCGGGGGAAGTTCTGCCTGCTCACACCTCACCCATGTAGAGCGCTAGTGACCTTAGTGGTGCTTTGTATATACCTTAGTTATCTACCCCTCAATTTTTCACCCCAGTTTAATGCATCCTTCCCTCGTCTTCCAACCCCTGGACCGATCTCCAACTATTCGCCACTAGAAGTACACCACACATCAAGGCCCCCGCACGGCATACTCTCATACCGTGACCGTGGATGATTCCTTAACAATACTAACATTAAATGTTAAAGGCCTCACTAGTCCACATAAACGGAGACGCACAGTGCAAGAAATAACTAAATCTAGGGCGGCAATCGTATGTTTACAAGAGACCCACTTTTGTGTCAGAAATCCAACGAAATTTAATATAAAATACTACCCCCAAAGCTATCACGCTATGTCCAGCACCAAGGCCAAAGGAGTCTCTGTGTACTTCCACAGTGACTGGGTATTTAACCACTATGCCAGTAAAGATGGGAGAATATTGATATTAGTGGGCTCACTCAATGGGCTGTCGGTAACAATAGCTTCGCTTTACGCGCCTAATGATAAGCAAAAATCCTTTCTCACCTCGGTATTTAGAAAGATTGATAGGCTTAAAGTAGGTCACACATTCATGTGTGGGGACTTTAACTGTGCACCAGATCCCACCGCTGACATAAAGAGAGAGAATGATAAATCACCACAACAACACTCAATCTCACTTGGCCAACACCTTAGGAAATTGATGCATGAATGCGATTTCTATGACACCTGGAGGGGTCTTAACCCGAGAGGGAGAGACTACACATACTAACAGCAGTCCATATGACTTACACGAGAATAGCTCTTTGTTTACTGGACACTAAAACACTACCCTTTGCCACTAAAGTACACATAGGACCAATCACGTGGTCTGATCATGCACCACAAAACATAACCATACGAATCCCGTATCCAGCTAGAGGACGAGGCACATGGCGCCTAAATGATAGCCTTCTAGACGAGCCAGAGCAACTTCGGAGAATACAAAACCGGGCGGAGAAATACTTTACCGACCATACTCAATGCCCAACCTCCGACACTACACAATGGCTGGCCCATAAGGCGGTCATAAGGGGTGAACTAATTCAATTAGGAGCTAGAGCAAAAAGACTACACAAGACGAAACTAAACACCATAGAGCAGGATTTGGTCAAGGTGGAATTCACCCACAAGACAACTCCAACGGTAAAAACACATAAACAGCTAATGACACTTCGATAATGGAAAAACATTTGCGGTTTTTAAAACAGTCACATTACATTATGGGGAACAAAGCAGGTAAACTCCTGGCCAGAAAATCGAAACAAACAAAATTGCAATCCAAAATCCCTTATATAACCTCCGCAACTGGAGATAAACTGTATAACCCCCAGGATATAGTGAACGAATTAGCGAAATATTACGCCTCACTATATCAACTAGAAAACTTAACCCTCACAAACAACAACCGACAGACAAAGAGATCAGCTGCTTTCTAGATAGAGTGCCCTTACCCAGCCTAACACAAGCACAATGTACTCAACTAGAATCCGCGTTCACAGAGGAAAAAGTAGAGACCGCGATCAAATCCCTACCCAAACATAAGGCCCCTGGACCTGACAGGTTATCCAACTATTGCTATATAAAATTGGCCAGACAACTAACCGTACCTCTTACCAAACTGTTTAACCACATAGAAGAATTTGGAATCATGCCCAAAGAAATGCTGGAAGCACATATTGTGGCAAAACTAGCCACCAAAGACTATGTATAAAGATGTATGTATGGCTGCTAAATAGTAAGAAACCAATGCTATTTGTGTTTTAGGCGAATGAGGGCATTCGTATGCTGGCGGTAGGAAAACCCCAGCATTTCTAATGAAGTTTCACGAACGGGGAGTTAAACCCTGTTCGTGAAATGAATAACCTACTGAACGCACGACCACACACAGGGGGTCGTGTGGCACCAATTAATTAATTAAGAGTGTTTCTAGGTGGCCGTCGTTTGAATACCGACCACGCGGCGGTCGGCCATCTTGTTTCTTTTGTTAGCCCAGCGGTGTTTTGTCGTCGAGCGCCTGGAACTAAAAACGGCTACTCGACGGCACGAACACCGCTGGACTTCCAGGCCGTTCGGGAACCTCGGCCGTTTGGTAGTTCATTCCCCTTACGATAATCGGTATTTTTAAACCTATGTTGAAATTATGTGTATTTCGTACGGCGTTCGGTTAGTTAGACTGGGAGCTGAGCGGTAAACTCACGAATGATGCGCTCAGCCTCCAGCTACCGACCGAACGACCGAATAATGTGAAAGTTATGTATTTTAATGTATAAAGTGAGTTCTGCTGCACGGAGGGATAATCCTATTAACAGTATATTCCAGTGGGAGTATCCCTCTCGTCCAGCAGTGTATGATGGGAAAATTGTGTGTGTTGGGCAGTTCCCCATGTAGTCCCCTACTGTACAACCCCTGAAATGTCAGTAGGGAAGCCCCTTGCATGGGGAATCCCATAAATACCGTGACCTGCCATTAAACCTCAATTGACCTCCAAGCTATGTGTCGTCCAGTTCTTGGGAGGAAGGGATTGTAACTACGCTACCTGGATTTTACCTGCTTTGTGCCCGTTTGTTTCTGTCAACCAGCGGAGATACCGTGGATAATACTACTGCTCCGCTACAATTGGTGGCAAGCGACGGGATTCTAACCTCACAGCAAAGCAGCGTTCGGCAGGAATTAAAACGAACGGAAGGAAAGAAACCGCAATTCGTGAGCACAGCCATTCGGATGAAACCGGAGTTCGGGAATACGGGAAACGCACGAACAGCCGGTGAATGGAAACGAATTATGCACTTTTGAAACGCAGCACATTAAAGGAGTTATTAGAGGCAAGAGGAACAGTAGCCAGCAACAAGGCAAAGGCTGTTTTAATTGAGGAGCTGATGGAAGGGGACAGAGCCGCAGCTGCTGCAGCACCTCCAATGGGGAGAGAGCCAACGGAATTTGAAATAGAATTCAAGAGCAGGATAGCTCTGTACCCAACCACCCCACCACAGGAGACGTTCGACAGGATCATGGCAGATGTACAGGAATACATCATGGCCAAACAGGATCAAGCAAACCAGCCACCCAGAGAGGGGTCACCGGCTCCACCTAGCATCATACAGGGAAAACCAAAAATTCCCTACCAGGCTTTTAAAAACTTCACGGACACAGAGGGTGATATTGATGGATATCTGCAGGACTTCGAAAGACTGTGTCAGCTGCATGAGATCCGGCCCCATGATCAAGTCCCCCTGCTAGCTGGTAAATTATCTGGCCGCGCAGCGGAAGCTTACAGAGCCGTGCCAGATGAGGACAGCCGAGACTACCATAAAGTAAAACAAGCCATCCTAGCTCGGTATGCCATCACTCCAGAGGCGTACCGACTCCAATTCCGAGACCTGAGAAAACAGGAGAAGGACTCTCACGCTGAAGTTGCGCATCGCCTACAACGAGCAGCCACCGGGTGGATTGAGGCAGCGCACGCAACCACTAAGCAGGATATCATACAGCTCCTGCTATTGGAACAATTCTACCGGAGATTATCCACCGAGATGCAGAACTGGGTAAGGGACCGTAAACCCTGTACCATACAAGATGCCGCTAAACTCGCGGACGAGCACCAGGATACTAGGCGAGAACAGCGAGCCCCACCTAAAGTATTTCATCCGGGAAGCACCTACCGGCCTGCCGCGGCGGACCCCCCCCCCGATCAGGGGGAGCATACAAAACCCCGATACAACACCCGAGCACACATCCGATGCCATACCTGCAACCAACTGGGACATGTACAAAGAGATTGTCCCCGAAACAGGGCACGGCCATCCACTGGGGCCTAGAGCAGCAGTACATTGTTATCAGACCGGAGCGTTTGCACAGCCATCCACCACCGCCCAGATAGAGGAACCGCTAGGCACGCTCCACGAAGTTAACCCAGTGCAAGAGGCATCAGATAACCGCCAAGGCCATAGGCAAGTGGTCCATATAGAAGGTAAACGCATGGAAGGACTGCGGGATTCCGGGGCCACCATCACGTTGGTTCGAAACCATCTGGTTGCAAAAGAGCAACTCCGGGGGATTGCATACCGGTACGGGTAGCAGGGGGAGCCATTTACAAAGTTCCCACTGCCAAAATACATTTGAATTGGGGAGCGGGGGCAGGGCAAGTGGAGGTGGGGATGATGCAAGACTTGCCAGCGGATGTTATTTTGGGAAATGACTTGGGGGAGCTCACCTCCGCTTTTATTCCACAACCTACCATGCAGGAGGCTTACCCAGTCATCACTCGACAACAGGCTCGCACCACAGCACCACCCACCGACTCTGAGGCTCAGGTAAGCAATGCCAACCCCAACCACACTATCCTACCCTGGGATGCCCCTTTAGAATTTGGTAGCGAAGTCGCTCTAGATCCTTCCTTACAGGTTTATAAAGACCGAATAGACAAGAACCAGGCAGGCATAGAAGGAGAAAAGTATGCTTGGGATAACGGGTTATTATACCGATATGCTGAGAAGATCGTGGCCGGGTCAGTGCCCATTCCCATTAAACAGCTAATTGTGCCTCGGAAGTACAGGCAAGAGTTAATGCGCATAGCGCACGACATACCATTGTCAGGGCATTTAGGAATCAGCCGAACCAAACATCGGCTGACGCAAAATTTCTTCTGGCCAGGTACCTCCCAAGATATTAGACAATATTGCAATACCTGTGATACCTGCCAGAGGGTCGGAAAAAGGGGAGACAGATATAAAGCTAAGCTGCACTCCCTACCCATAATAGAAGAACCCTTCAGTAGAGTAGCAGTGGACATAATAGGACCACTGAAAAAACCCAGTCCCTCCGGCAAGAAGTACTTGACCGTAGTAGATTACGCCACCAGATACCCTGAAGCTGTGGCTCTAACTAATGTACATGCTGAGACCGTGGTGGATGCCCTTATGCGAATATTCTCCCGCATGGGATTGCCCCGGGAGATTATTTCGGATAGAGGTACCCAATTCACGGCAGAGGTCACCCACCAGCTCTGGAAAGTATGTGGGGTAAAGGCTATCCTTAATTCGCCCTACCATCCCCAGTCTAATGGTCTCTGTGAACGGTTCAACGGAACGCTGAAACAAATGATCCGGACGTTCATAGACACACAAAAAGACTGGGAACGATTCCTACCCCACTTACTATTCGCATATAGAGAAGTGCCCCAAGAATCCACTGGGTTCTCTCCCTTTGAATTATTATTTGGAAGGAGAGTGAGGGGCCCCCTAGATTTAATCCGAGAACACTGGGAGGGGGGAGTAACCACTAATGGTACCCCTATCGTACCATATGTGCTGGAATTTCGGGACCGTTTGGAGGCGTTGACCCAGACCGTACGTACCAACCTCCAAGTGGCCCAGCAAAGACAGCGCAGATGGTATGATAGGGGGGCCAGGGACCGCAGCTTTCAGGTCAGGCAAAAGGTGCTGATCCTATGGCCCGTACCTACTGACAAGCTGCAGGCCTCCTGGCAGGGCCCATTTAAGGTGGTGGAGCAAATCTGCGCTGGGTCAGCGGGAAGACGCATGTAAACATGCTGAAACCATACAACGAGCGCCCAGAAGAGGTGACCGCAATATGTGCCTCTGCCGCAGAGGACACAGATAATTTGCCGTTACCAGATCTTCTCGCCAGAGAAACACAGAAGGAAGAGTTAGCCGCGGTACAGCTAGGGGAGCGCTTAACTTTGCAGGAGAAAACCCAGGCCCAGCGTTTAATTAGGGAGAAGGGAGCCACCTTCTCCAATCTCCCCGGGTACACCCCATTAGCCACCCACAGGGTGGAGACCCCATACCAACTACCTCTCCGTCAACCTCCTTACCGCACTCCAGAAGCAGTAAAAGAGCATATGCGTAAAGAGATTGAGGAAATGCTACAATTAGGGGTTATTGAGCATTCAGATAGCCCTTGGGCGTCGCCCGTGGTACTAGTGCGTAGATTATAGAAAGCTTAACGATAAAACGGTATCAGATGCCTACCCCATGCCGCGCATAGACGAGTTGTTAGACAAGATGGCCCGAGGTCATTATCTAACCATAATCGACCTGTGCAAAGGATATTGGCAAATCCCTTTAGCAAAGGACGCCATTCCGAAGTCAGCGTTTGTCACTCCGTTTGGCCTTTACCAGTTTAAAGTTATGCCATTTGGAATGAAAAATGCCCCAGCCACATTCCAGAGGATGGTAGATCGACTATTAGACGGGTTTCAGGAATACGCATGCGCCTATCTGGACGACATAGCGATTTTCAGCTATTCCTGGACCGACCACCTGACCCATGTAGGGGCGGTGCTAGACCGTATTAGGGAGGCAGGCCTGACCCTTAAACCCAGTAAGTGCCATATCGGGATGGCCGAGGTCCAATATTTAGGACACCGAGTAGGAAGTGGCCAACAGAAACCAGAACTGGCCAAAATAGAGGCGGTAGCCAACTGGCCCACTCCCCGCACCAAAACCCAGGTTTTAGCATTCCTAGGTACCGCAGGATACTATAGGAAATTTCTACCCGATTACAGTACCCTGGCAAAACCCCTCACAGACTTGACCCGCAAGAATCTCCCCAAGTTAGTAGTATGGACCCCAGAGTGTGAAATGGCATTCCAGCAACTTAAAACTGCTCTTGTTAACGCACCAGTACTCGCTGCTCCTGATCCAACTAAACGCTTTCTCGTCCATACAGATGCTTCTATGTTTGTGTGACGGAACGCTGGCACTCCGACTGAGTACCTCCGCCAATCGATGCTCCTAGCGCTTGCCGAGGACTCCAAGCACTCCAACCGACACCATCAGCACTGCAGACCCCACTTCCGGCGATGCAACTGCGCCGGGGTCTCTGCTGTTTCCACCCACCCTGGACCCAAGGCCAGGATCCAGCTTCCAGTGGGTGAACCTCTCTTTCCCCAGAGAGCAGGAACAGGAACAAATCAAGCTATTGCAAGAGCTTCCTCTGGGGAGTAAGTGATTATAGCAATCCCCAGAGTGTAGGTATCCCTTCCCCCAAACATGAGCCAAGGCTTAATGCTGGAACAAGACTGATTTACTGGCACACAGAACTCACAATTTATGCAACACAAAACTCCTCCTCTGGGCCAGGCTAGATAATTGAGTTTCTACAATACACAAAGCTCAATCATCTGCTGGCCAGAAACATTACAATTTTATAAAACACACAGGGACCCCAAAACATGCAATAACCCCATAAAAAGTATATCCTTGGAACCGGGGGATCTGGGTGAACCACATATCCAAAATTCACCCAGATCCGTTCAGTACTTTGGAAAATACAGTTTAATGCAGATTCTGCAGAACATATAAAGGCTAAATGAAAAACAATCACTTTATAATGTGTCCCCTGCTGTATAGTCCAAAACCACTGCACGATGTCTCTGTGCACCAAATACTGGCGAGATGGCACGTGTTGAAAAGTCCACACAGTGTCTGTGAGTTAAAATGGCCGCCATCCATTGTTCTCACCATGTGCTTCTGATACAGGAAATGGTGGCCACCCAGTAACTCCACAGTATGTCCCCAGATGGTTCTTAAAGGGCCAGCAGCAGCACAACACAAATCCATTATGCCCAAATCATGTCTTTAAAGGGCAATACAACCCAGGGGCCATAGTCACAGGGCAAGAGGCGGGCAAGCAGTCCTCTCCAGGCACAAGTGGCGAAGGGCACTTCGTCACAGTTTGGATTGGGAGCAGTACTGAGCCAAGTCGGAGCGGATGGCGGCGAGCATCCCGTGGCTTACTTAAGCAGAAAACTTTTACCCCGAGAAGTAAGCTACGCCGCCATTGAAAAGGAATGCCTTGCCGTGGTGTGGGCCCTCAAGAAATTGCAACCATATTTATACGGACAACCATTCGCATTACTCACAGATCACAACCCGTTGGTCTTGCTGAACCGGGTGTCAGGGGACAATGCCAGGCTGGTGCACTGGAGTTTGGCGCTGCAGCCTTTTGACTTTACGATCCAGTACCGCCCGGGAAAGCTAAATGGCAATGCCGACGGGTTATCCAGACAAACCGAACTTGAGAAGTGATCTGTGGGTACTCCTCTGGACATCCCCAAGCCGATCCGTTGGGATCAGACTGTGTATGCCGGCTTGGTTCTGGGGGAGCATTGTGGCAAAACTAGCCACCAAAGACTATATATAGAGATGTATGTATGGCTGCTAAATAGTAAGAAACCAATGCTATTTGTGTTTTAGGCGAATGAGGGCA